CACCCGCCAACAACACTAGCCTAGTACACACACACACACACACACACACACACACACACACACACACACACACACACACACACACACACACACACACACACTGTGTACTCCATACACAGTTTCAAAAGTAGATATGATAGAGCTCGAGAAGCTCAGGAATCTGTACAACAGTAGGGTGACGTTTGAGAGGCGGGACCGAAGAGCCAAAGCTCAACCCCCACAAGCACAACTAGGTGAGTAAAACTATGTAAGTACACACGCACGCGCGCGCAAACAAGCAATGATCTATCGCCTAAACATCGATGAATCCTTAGTCAAGCTGATTGCTCCCTTAAGACCCCTAACGACTTTGTTGTCCTTCTGGTGGTCTGATCGATAGCAGGTAACTACATGACCTCCTGGTGGTGCACAGGAACATGTTCCACTGCTACTCATGACCTCCTTATGGTACACAGGAATATATTCCACTGCTGCTCAAGACCTCCTGGTGATGCACAGGAATATATTCCACTGATACTATCATAATACAGAAATAACTTACTCCAACAAACATCAAAAGCAACAGAATTCTATTGTCAAAAGTCCTGCATGACGCATGGCTATATTTGACACCCTTGTGTGACGCAAGGTTATATTCGACAAACTTGCATGACGCAATGGGATTTAACTGGAAATCGTATAAATATTTAATAAAATAAACACTTATTCTTTCTTTCTTTCTCCACTTCTTCACGTGTTTGTTCTTCTCTCCTTAGTCTTAGTTTATTTACACAACTATTTTGAAGCATTTTTGTTCTAAATTTCCTCTTTATTATATACTTTTTTATTGTTGTTTACAGTCTACAGACAATAACCACACTAACATAATGTATAAATGACAAAATCCGCCAGAGCCTCATCACGGGTCCTATGGATTCTCTCCCTGATCACAGAATCAACTACGTTTTCTAATATATCTTATAACACAGAAAACCCACACAAAAAACTGAGCTCTTGCATGATTAATATCTCAATTAAGAGAACGAGGCGAAGCTGATTGTTATCTTACAGTTACTTTGCAATGATTTTGGAGCTCAACTTTCCCGCGGCCCGGTCCTCGACCAAGTCTCCTTACACATGGTATATATCATTTATTTTTCGTGGGAAGTCCCCCCTGAATCCAGCCCCAGAGAGAGCAGAGATATCTAAGCGTGAACACGAAGGTAAAGCCTAAAAATCCACCCACGGTCTCGTTGGATTCAACCCGCACACTATAATCTCCGACATTTTTGTGTTTCAAGCAAGCAGAATGGTGATGATCGTGACTGCCTAAGCTCGTGATGAGTGCACCAGGAGGGTGGACAGTGCACCAGGAGGGTGGACAGTGCACCAGGAGGGTGGACAGTGCACCAGGAGGGTGGACAGTACACCAGGAGGGTGGACAGTACACCAGGAGGGTGGGCAGTGCACCAGGAGGGTGGACAGTACACCAGGAGGGTGGACAGTGCACCAGGAGGGTGGACAGTGCACCAGGAGGGTGGACAGTGCACCAGGAGGGTGGACAGTGCACCAGGAGGGTGGACAGTGCACCAGGAGGGTGGACAGTACACCAGGAGGGTGGACAGTGCACCAGGAGGCTGGACAGTACACAAGAAGACTGGACAGTACACAAGGAGGCTGGACAGTACACAAGAAGACTGGACAGTACACAAGGAGGCTGGACAGTACACAGGGAGGCTGGACAGTACACAAGGAGGCTGGACAGCACACAAGGAGGCTGGACAGTACACAAGGTGGCTGGACAGTGCACAAGGAGGCTGGACAGTACACAAGGAGGCTGGACAGTACACAAGAAGGCTGGACAGTACACAAGAAGGCTGAACAGTACACAATGTGGCTGGACAGTACACAAGGAGGCTGGACAGTACACAAGAAGGCTGGACAGTACACAAGAAGGCTGGACAGTACACAAGGTGGCTGGACAGTACACAAGGAGGCTGGACAGTACACAAGAAGGCTGGACAGTACACAAGGAGGCTGGACAGTACACAAGGAGGCTGGACAGTACACAAGGAGGGTGGACAGTACACAAGAAGGCTGGACAGTACACAAGGAGGCTGGACAGTACACAAGGTGGCTGGACAGTACACAAGGAGGCTGGACAGTACACAAGGAGGGTGGACAGTATACAAGGAGGGTGGACAGTATACAAGGAAGCTGGGTAGATCCACCACGAGACCGGAAAGTGTACTAGGATTTTGGACAGTGCACCAGGATGTTAGACAGTGCACCAGGATGCTAGACAGTGCACCAGGATGCTAAACAGTGCAGCAGGATGCTAGACAGTGCACCAGGATGCTGCCCAGCACACCAGAAGGCTGGGTAGTGCACCAGGAGGCTTGGGAGTGCACCATTAGGCTTAGTAGTGCACCATTAGGCTTAGTAGTGCATCAGGAGGCTTGGAAATGCACCAGGATGATGTGGTGTGCACCAAAAGCTTAGGCACTCATCCATCAGGCTGGTCAGTACAACAATGAAGAGACAGTGATATATAAAAATAGATAGACAAAGATAGATAAATTCACGTATGAAACATATAAACAAAGAGAGAGGAGGAGATACAATATAAACAAATCATATTACTCACTAAACCACTTGGTATATACATTGGGAGGAGCGGAATTTATTTCTTAGATAAATTGAATTGATCAAGCACAGTGCAACAATATCAATGCCCCGTTATGCATTGGAACGTAAGCATAAGTATTCACAGAGGTAATAATCTTGATCTAACCACTTTCCCCCTCCCCACACACTATAGCTTATTGGTGAAACAAGCTATGTCATTGATCTCAAAGATGGTGGCCGGTAACTATTTCCACTTGTCTACCTCCCTATTGCTAAACCTTCATTTCCCAGATATCTTATTGATCTTAATTTATCCAGCTTAAAGCCATTGTTGTGGGTTCTGGTAGGATGGGATGGTTCAGGTTAAATCTGAAAATTGTTATGGGTTTTGGCAGGATGGGGGTGGTTCTGGGTAAGTCTGAAAATTTTTGGGGGTTCTGGTAGGATGGGATGGTTCAGGTTAAGTCTGAACATTGTTGTGGGTTTTGACAGGATGGGGTGGTTCTGGTTAAGTCTGAAAATAGTTGTGGGTTTTGGCAGTGGTTCAGGTTAAGTCTGAAAATTGTTGTAGGTTTTGGCAGGATGGGTGGTTCTAATTAAGTCTGAAAATTTCAAAGGCCTTGCCCCTGTCATCCCTGTTGATAGACCTCATCAACCAGAAGACTTCAAGCACGTCTGTCCTCGCTCTGTACTACCCTGGGTATATTAGCCCAACCCTCTCAACCTCTCGTATGGGTTCACCCGGATAGAAGGGATCAATCTGATTATCCTGTTTTGGATTTTGAAGAGGAAATCGATGTCCACTCTATAACAGAAGTACCAGCACTGGGCGGTATAGTCTAACTTGGGCCGTAATAGGACAAAATGTATTTGGAGAACAAAGTTTAAGTAATTTTGTTTGCTGGTTATAAACCCAAATAGCCAGTTCGCTTAAGTGCGTTGCTTAGGTCTTGGCCAATACCGACACATAAGATTTTTTAGTAATTCTGCTTTCAAATATATGCATCTTGTCATTTCCTGCATCTCCTCATCTCCTGCATCTCTTTATCTCCTGCATCTCCTGCATCTCTTGATCTTCTGTACCTCCCTACAGTTCCTGCCACTGTCATTATCCTGGTTAAATATTTTGCGCTTATCTATGTTAAATGTTAACGTAGTACCAATTGAAGCCAAGTTTAGTTTAGTGCCAAGTCCTTAACTTGGGAATGGCACTGACACCGTTAGTGGGATGAACGATGATCGGCAGTTAATGAGGGTAGTCTGACCTGTCTGTGATGATGTAGTATATAGAAATATTTCGAATTTTATTTTTTTATGTTTTTTTAATTAAATAAAATATTTTATTTCGTGGTGTGTGCTTGCCTGTCATTGTGCACGTATGTATACATATATGTGAATGTGTATAATTTAGCCGCCAGGTGTATACAAGTCACCAGCCAGTCACCAGGTGTAAACAACAGTCACCAGGTGTACACAACAGTCATTAGACAGTCGCCAGGTGTATACAACAGTCACCAGACAGTCGCCAGGTGTATACAAAGGTCACCAGACAGTCACCAGGTGTAAACAACAGTCACCAGGTGTATACAACAGTCATTAGACAGTCGCCAGGTGTATACAACAGTCACCAGACAGTCGCCAGGTGTATACAAAAGTCACCAGGTGTATACAACAGTCGCCAGGTGTATACAACAGTCATTAGACAGTCGCCAGGTGTATACAACAGTCACCAGCCAGTCACCAGGTGTAAACAACAGTCACCAGGTGTATGCAACAGTCGCCAGGTGTAAACAACAGTCGCCAGGTGTATGCAACAGTAACCAGACAGTCGCCAGGTGTATACAACAGTCACCAGCCAGTCGCCAGGTGTAAACAACAGTCGCCAGGTCTATACAACAGTCACCAGCCAGTCGCCAGGTGTAAACAACAGTCGCCAGGTGTATACAACAGTCACCAGACAGTCTCCAGGTCTATACAACAGTCACCAGACAGTCGCCAGGTGTAAACAACAGTCTCCAGGTCTATACAACAGTCACCAGCCAGTCGCCAGGTGTATGCAACAGTCACCAGACAGTCGCCAGGTGTAAACAACAGTCTCCAGGTCTATACAACAGTCACCAGCCAGTCGCCAGGTGTATGCAACAGTCACCAGACAGTCTCCAGGTGTATACAACAGTCGCCAGGTGTATACAACAGTCACAGGAGCACAAGGAACTAATTAGTAACAAATAAAAACTTTTAACACTTAAAATACTTTTGTATATACAAATACAAAAGTATGTTGCGACATATATTCGTTAATACATAGTATATAATCATAAATATACTTTTGTATGTATTTCAGTAAATACAAATACCGTCCCATCACATGCACAGTTAATACGTCACTTTACCGTCCAAAATATTGACGAACGTGAAGTTTGACTGTCGATCATTTCACAAAGTTCTGAAAGTACAAAGTTCTGAAAGTACTCTTTTAATTCATATATTATCGTTATTATTTATATAATTTATTTCATTGGCTGAAAATTGTCACGAGTTTTCAATGTGGTTGATAATGTGGGTTAGTGAGATGGTTTACACAGAGCGCGAGTCTACCGCGGGAGAGTCACGGCGGAACGCGGACCACTAGTACACACGACCCACACGCGCGGCCCTCCTCCAGTCACTGACGACTCCCGGACCAACACCCCTTGCCTCCACGCTACACCTCTCTCTCTCTCTCTCTCTCTCTCTGTCTCGCTCTGTCTCTCTCTCTCTGTCTCTCTCTCTCTCTCTGTCTCTCTCTCTCTCTCTCTCTCTCTCTCTCTCTCTCTCTCTCTCTCTCTCTCTCTCTCTCTCTCTCTCTCTCTCTCTCTCTCTCTCTCTCTCTCTCTCTCTCTCTCTCTGTGTCTCTCTCTGTCTCTATCTTTGTGTGTGTGTGTGTGTGTGTGTGTGTGTGTGTGTGTGTGTGTGTGTCTCTCTCTCTCTCTCTCTCTCTCTTTCTCACTCTCATTTTAAAGTTTTCATCTCTATACCATCGGTCTAGACTAGGTATTTTGACTGACCAGATAATAAAGTTAGTTTGTCACTTCAGAATAGCTTCGTTATTGACACAAGTTGGAGATATAAGTTGTGCAGATCTTGGGATATAGGTTTGCACATCTTGGGATATAGGTTGTGCACATCTTGGGATATAGGTTGTACACATTTTCATCTTATGTTTCTCTTTCTCATTCTCTCTCTTCTTATCACTATTTTCCCTACTCGGGTGTTGACACAAGAGTACAGGTGGACAACGCCTTGAATACAAAGGTTTTATTGGGTTCCTTGGACTCATCTTCCACTTGTGTCCTCTTGTTTTGTTTTCTCTCACCACATATATTCAGATTTCTGTGTAAAAACATTAAAAACTTTAATCTGTTTCCTAATCAAATTAGTCCACAGCATTGCTCCTTTGTTTTCCAAATGTCTGCAACTATTTCTTCATAGCTGTCTAATTAAATTCATTTCCTTCATTTGTTAATTCGCAAAAGAAAAGAAATGTGACATTTTTTAAATCACAGAATGAAAAGTGAGACCGATTTTATTTCTCCTCGGGGAATAAAATCAAAATAGATACAGGACTTTTCGAGGTGTTTTTTCGTACACAATATGTGATCAATGTTGTCAGTACATGTCCCTCGAGACGGGCACAGTCTTCACCAACAAGTTGTATCTTATGACAATTGGTCTAAAATTAAGTATCCAACAAACCAACAAATTCTGTTGTTTACAAAAGGGGAGCCAATTAAACTGTGTAAATGGTCAAGAAAAGATCTTAATTTAATAGTGAGGAAGCTGTTGCTCGCTAGCACTTTTTTGTCTATACAAAATACTCCAGCGATGGGCAGTGGGTGGAAGGGTGATAAATCTGGTGTGCTCCGGAGGCCGGAATGGGACGTGTAACGGTCGCCATTGTTCTACCATCATCGAATAGCTCTTTTAAGTAAACATTTTGCCTCAAGAAATTGTCTCTCTTTTTTTTTTTTTTTTTTTTTTTAGGCCCCTGATGATATCCCGGTGTGTGTGTGTGTGTGTGTGTGTGTGTTACGGACTCGTTACCCTTGTTTGTCAGGGGGTAGAGTGGTAGTTCCAGCGCCATCTACGAGTCCGCACCCGAACTGCCAGGGAATCGTACGTAATATGGACAATGCCATCTGGTGGTGGCTATTTGAAACTTGCAAATGGCTATAGATTCCTGCCTTGGTTAGCCAGAGGGGTCGTTGTGAGTGACCTCTGGTGAGGTGACGAATCAAGACCAGCGCCACCTAGTGTGTGCTACAGAGCACAATGTCAACTCCCCAGTGAGTTAGTGGTATTTCCAAGTTTCGCCAGTACTGGCTAGGTCATGGATGACGTTATTGTATCCACAGAGGTGACGTTTGGGAGCAGCGGTACTGGAGACAGCAGTTCATCGTGGGCAGTCCACAGTCTCCGTACGTGGTCCTGGAAACGCCCAAGTAAGCCGCCGCCGATGAAGCAGTGTGGTAGCTGCTAATGCTTTAGTGTTGAAAAGATCGGCGTACCTTTGGGACTGGCTTAGGGAAGAGACTGACGACAGGGAGGTGCCTGTTGAGTAGTGCTGCTAGCTGGTCGCTAGAGACTGCTGCCAGGGGATCGCTTCACCTGTATTGTGACCCCGCTCAGCGTGTGGCTGAGGTACTCTGCCAGCGAGTAGCTGGAGAGCGGTCGTGGGGGTACAGGCACCTCATGACACTGTCAGTGGGCTGGCCCACGTACAGGTGAACTCGCCGGTGTTCTTCCCAGTAAGGTTGGATACGCTACTGGACAGTGAAGAAATACGGGGGATTGATGAACTGTGCACGTGAACACGTTTGATATCCTGAGCGAAAGGATTGTACATAGGTGTAGTAATAGCCTATCTGTTCTTTATATATTATTTATGGTGACGGTGTACATATATATACTTAACGGTGGTGAAAAGATATTTAATACATTGACGAAAGGAACAGTGTTTTGTTCATCCCTCCTTTTTTATATGTACTAGATAGCCACTTTCTTGAAAGCGACTTGGGGTCGGATACTATCATTTTGGTTCTACCAAAGTTCTAGGTTTTTGGTTCTGGTTTTGGTTTTTGCTGGTTCGTAGTAACGTTTAACTCTAGTGAGTTCCCTAACATACTGGCTTGAACTGTATCTTGTTTTTTAAGTGCAATTCTCAATTCTTTTGTGCCCCTGTACGGTAATTTCTTCTCTCATTCTCTCTCTTTCCTTATGACAGTGTAAGTATTGGAAAAATACTGAACTTGTAATGATACCTGACAATTTCGTTGCAGTGAATGCTATTACATTTGGCATCTTATACTTTACATCTTGCTTTACATTACATCTTGTGCTTGTGCGCTTTCCCCAAGTTCACTTACTTTGTAATTCCATCTATATTTGAGTGCATTACTTTGAAGCTGACTATATTCTGTCCATTCTCAGTTATCCTTCGTGTTAGTACCAATGGTGTAGGATACTTTGTGCCCCCCATCCCAGGGGCATTGTGTCCCTGGTCTGTGGGGCCAGGAACGGCCTCGGATCGGAGGGCAGAGAGAGTTTGGGATGTGGGGTAGGGCAGATGTGAGGACCTAATATTGGGAAGAAGGGACGGCATGAGATGGGAGAAAAGGGAGGGCATGGGGTGGTAGAACAATGGGCATAGGATGGAGAAACAGGAAAGTGAACGGGAATGAATGAAGTCGAGTCAGTGTCGCGACGAAATGTTAGCTATCTACCATGAGCCACTTGTGACATCCCACTGTAAACACGCCTCCCAATTGTCTCATCTGGTTCCATGCAGTAAAAAGCATAGCCATTGTCGTGGAGAGAGAGAGAGAGAACATAAGAATATAATAACATAAGAAAAATGGTAACTGCAGAAGGCCTATTGGCCCATACGAGGCAGCTCCTATTTATAACCACCCAATCCCATTCATAAACATGTCCATCCCACGTTTGAAACATTCGAGGGACCAAACCTCCACGAAGTTATATGGTAATTGGTTCCTCAAATTAACAACCTTGTTACCGAACCAGTATTTACCCAAGTCTTTCCTAAATCTAAACTTATCCAATTTATACCTATTGTTTAGTGTTCTGTCTTGTGTTGATACTTTTAATACCCTAATGATACTTTTAATACTCTAAAAAGAAAAGAGAGAGAAAAAAATGTGAGTTTGTGTAAATTTATTCACCTATTTGTATTCATCTATTTGTGCTTGCGGAGGTTGAGCTCTTTTGGCCCGCTTCTCAACTGTCAATCAATTGTTACTAACTACTCTTTTTTTCCCCTCCACACACACACCCCCAGGAAGTAGCCCGTAGCAGATGTTTAACTCTTGGGTACCTATTTACTGCTAGGTAACAGGGGCATCAGGGTGAAAGAAACTTTGCCCATTTGCCCATATGTAGTGTATTTTGCAAGCAAGAAATTATCTCCTGCAGAATATAATTTTCTGCTAGGTAAAAAATTTCTTGCTAGAACAGACCATAAACCCGCTGCTAGGATTGTTTGGCAGATGTAAACTAATTCCAATTAATGCCAATCCTAGAATTCAATGATAGGCATTGCTACTCTCACAGTTTGAGTATAATTTGGAATTTAAGCCAGACAAGGATAATGTAGTCGCTGATGCATTAAGTAGATTGCCAGTTACAGAAGAGTTTAATTCCAATATTCCAGTGGAAAATGTTAAACTGGTGTAATCTGTGTGTTTTGAGGATATTTCATTCCAGACCATTAGGAGAGCAACTAGTAGAGATCCAAAATTAAATCTGTTGATGAAGTATGTAAAATATTGTTGGAATGATAATTTATTATTGTCAGAGTATGCTGCAGTAAAGGCTGACCTTAGGATTCACCAGGATGTACTCTTGTTAGGCAGTCGTTATCGACTGTATGCAGTCGAGTGTTAGGCAGTCGACAATTAGTGAAGACATCAGCGCCACCTACCTTGGTCCAGCTCCCATATAAATAGAAGCCAGCCACCACTACGATTCAGATTACTCATAAGTGTTCTATTGCAAAGATCTGTTAACATATCTCGGTATGGTAGCAGGTTTATGCAAACTAGCTCATAGTATTCTAGCACCATATTTCAGTATTTGCACATTAACAAATATATATATATATATATATATATATATATATATATATATATATATATATATATATATATATATAAACTAAGTGGGGTATCCAATGACGACGGGGTCCATCCAATAGACCGTCTTTTTTTCTATTTAAACACACTGTCCCCTCTCACCCAGCCAGATAACACTTATCAATACACACTTTTTTCATCACTTTAACAAATCTTCACATCATAAACTTCCCCCCCCCCCCTCCCTCCCTCTCTCCCCCGCCCCCCACACACGCTACCCATATACACTCCAAGATGTCCTCCCACATATAATCCCTGTCTCCTGCAAGTATACATATGACCTGCCTTTTTCTCTTAATGCACGCCTCCACTAGTCTCCTCCCCCCTCCCCCCTGCCCACGCACGCCTCCCCTAGTCTCCTCCCTCCCTGCCCACGCACGCCTTCCCTAGTCTCCTCCCTCCCTGCCCACGCACGCCTCCCCTAATCTCCTCCCCCCCTGCCCACGCACGCCTCTCCTAGTCTCCTCCC